CCTGCGTAAGCGTCACCGAGCCCATGAACTGTACCTGGACCCCAAAAGTATGTCAAATTGCCTTTGTGGCTATTACTAGGGGCTTAGGGCTATTATTTTACATACCTTTGGGGTTTAGGTACACTCCTTGGAATCTAGTACACGGTCTTACAGACCTAACAGCGACACAGGCTATGGCAATCTCGTTTGTTCTCGGAATCCTTGCAAAACAACTCATACTTTGCCGATTCAATCTTCCAGGGGCAACCTGAAATTCCAAAGCCCCCAAGTAATCTGCACCCTAAAATCCCCAACTTCTCTATGCCGCCCTACACTCCCTGATCATTCTACACGCTCAATTGCCCAAGCTCCAGCAACGAAATTCATAATTCCCCAACAACTCTACCTAAACCCTAAACGCGTGAACCCAAAATTCTCCAAATCCTCCCAAACGGGGGGGTCCTCGCGTCGCACGCCGCAGCTCCATAGCCGGAAGCGCTTTGGCCCCAGCCGATTCAGGTCATACCGCCTGGTTTAGGGGTTTAGGGTTTAGGGTTTAGGGCTCAGGGTTTCCAACCTGCCCTATCTGGGAAAACTGTAGTTGGGGGTTTCCCAACATTAGGGGTACCTTTCTAGGGGTCCCGATAATAAGGATTGCAGTATTTTGTGGTCTATATTGGGGTCCCTTATTGTGGGAAACTACCAGTTTTCTTGCTAAGCTTCCTGACTGTTGGACGGGTATGGAGGCATGAATCCATGGAATCGTCCCTATATAGCCTCGATACTACAGTGATTTCCATGTTCTTTTCAACATCTTCATCCCGCACTGACAACCAGTAAGCAAAGCTTTAGGTTTCAGAGGCTTAGTGCTTGGGAGTATGGAGGAACGAACCCTAAATCCTAAACCGTGTCTAGCTACGTAGGGCTAATGCTTTGTTGGGAATTGAGGTTATGGTTGGTTATGGCTTGTCAAGCAGGGTGGACAAGTAAGATTCTATTGCGAGTAACGTCGACTAATGACTAATGCGTTAGGGTGGGGAAAGAAAGTAAAGTTTGAAAAGCGTATTCCAGACCCCCTATTCGATTTGGGTGCATGCATTTCAAGTACACTTTCTGTGCTGAAAGAGAATATTCTGGCAAGGTTGTTGACGAGGCCAGAATGCGCTTGCTTTTAAAAGCCAAGCCTTTAAACACAAAGGCCAGGCTCTATTGCTTATGGAATCCGGAATCTGATGTCACTGAAACAATCGATGTCTGATTAAACCGCTTATTCAGACGGGCTAGGCAATCAGCTTCTAAAGGGAGTAGCCCAGCAGACCTCCTGACCCTCAATAACATTAAAGAAATGGAGGGGGGGGGGGGTCTCAATGATCTAAAGGTGTTGGTTTTGGCTGGTTCATGATGGGGCCATTCTAAGTTGCTGTTAATTGCATTAAATTTGATTTCTGTGTGGTGTTCACTCAATTGTATTTCTTGTAAATAGATGGTAAGGGGTTTAATCTGACGTTGATTCACTTTGAAACGGTTCTCTTCAAGGATTGATAAGATTGTAACTGATTCAAAACATAAAGGCCGAGCTCTGTTGTCCAGGAGCTTTACCTTCCTAGTCTCTTGAAAGCTGCACTGAGCCACTCTTCGGGAATTCAACAGAATCCGAAGGATCTGACTTTCCTTACTTCTTGACTTTAATAGGAGCCATAGGATCTCCCGATTCGTTTTGTTGCTTGGGGAGGGGAGGGGGCTCCGGGCTACTCAGGATCGCGCAATACTATTTATCTCGCAAATGAGGGCATGCATACTCTTTGTTGGGAACTGTAGCGCCACCCAACAAAACAGCGCCAGTGGCATACATTTGGGAGGTCTGAGACTCCAATTCTGCTGCTTGATAGCATGTAGACTGCATGTAGATAACATGTCTTCCTGTGTGTGCGCGTGGAGTCCATGGAACCTCCCAACCGAACCAAACCCTAAACGATATATGACCCCATGATAGTAGCTTCCATTCTACTTCCATTCTCCTAGACCCTACACCCCAAATCCCCTATCGGATCTGGCGGCTAAGTAGCTGCGGACTGGACAACCAGTCGGAAATCTGGGCAAATTGCAGTACTGTGCAAGTCCTTGCTCGCTACCCTAACACCCCTACACATGAGCCATAGTCTCAACTCCTAGCATCCCCCTTAATAGCCCCTAGTAGTCCCCTATATAATCCCCTATATAACCCCCTTTAAGGAGTTTAGACTGTAGTACACATGACCATAGTGCGAAACGCATTAAAGTTGAACCTACATAGCAGGAGGGGAACTATCTGGAAATGGGTAGGTGGAGCTTTTGATATGCAGTTGAAATGGCGGTTTTTCTGGCAAAGGGCTGCTATCCACTTGTGTCTGCGCTGAATTAAATAAAAAATTGTAACTGAGCGGCGCATCTCACATCAGGGAGCGTTGTGTGGACTCTTCATGTCAAGATTCCTGCTACTTGCGAAGCCTGTTTGGACATCTGTGGGTAACTAGCTATCTGTCTGAACAGACTGGACGTATATACTCAAGCACAACCTATGACTGCACCCAATCCTGCTTGCAACCCAACAAAGAAGCATTGAATTCTACCATTGCCATAGACGTCGCCACAAAGTACCCGCTAGAAATGTGAGTAAAGAACCATGATTATCCTTGCAACGCTTGCGCTTCTGTGAGACACAGCCCCTGTCGTGCAAACTGTCCAAGCACGGGCCGCGTCTGGTCCCGCGCGAATTAAACCATGCCGCTTAGCTCAAAGGACGCTAGGGGACCTCCCAAATTAGACCCCCCAGGTAGGGTTTTTAGGATTTAGGGTTTAGGGGTTTAGGGGAGTTTAGGGTTAAGGGTTTAGGGTTTAGGTTCTAGGGTTAGATCAGCAAATTAATACGGCCCAGTAGGAAATCATTTTGGAGATGGAGGCTCATTGAGAACCATTCAGGATTACTTGAGCCATTGTCTAAATTCCTAGTATCCCCCTTAATAGCCCGTATAGTAGTCCCCTATACAATCCCCCATATAACCCACTTTAAGGAGTTTGGACTATAGCTCACTTGGTGCTTTCCATCGGGCGGGTTGGGGGGGAGGTCCTCTCAGAATCCTATGATCAGCACGAAATTCTGATGGAAGTTTCCGAAAACATTAAGGAACTTCTATGGAAGTCCTATCATTCATTATATACCCATATTATGGTAACGTAACTTAAGTTCCTTAACAGCAACCCAGCTTAGGGCATTTAAGGCCAAATCCACCCTGCGTGGAGAACCTGTCACTGCTCCATTTGAGCTGTAGTCTAAACGTCCAATTGACCCCTCAGAAACCCCGAGTTTGAACTATAGCTCATGTTTTTTCAGAAGCTACCCAGTGAAAGTCTGCGCCAACTCAAGTCGGGAGAATTTGGGTTGTTCCCCCCTGTGCGGGGGATTGACCCAAGGCAGAATTAATTAGCAGCAGCACTTGCCTCGACCTTCCTTAGTCCCAAGGGCGCTAAAACGAAAAAAGATCCTGCCTCTGATAATGATAACACACACAATGAGTAGTCACACGCCCGGGATGTTCCCACCCCGAACCCCCCACCCCCTACCCCCCTCCCAAAACAAGAACGAAGCACTAGATTGCTCTGGGAAGCTCTACATTATTTAGGGCTAAGGGAAGCTTCATTATTAGGTGAGGTGGGTCCTCAACGATACAAGATGCTGAGCCCTAAGCCCCTGAATCCACTGAATCCAATACCTTAAAAACCCCAAACCCCCGACCCCCACGTGCATCCTAAACTCCCGCGTCCTAGACAATGGATTAGGTCCTTAGTAGGTGATAGGAGTTATAATCGCCCCGAAATAAAGCCCCCTTAAGAAGAGTTACGGGAGGGGGAATGATGCAAACTATGGAGCTTTAGCCCAACTCGTCATCGCAGACTCCCTTCTAGAGCTTGAGCCCCCAGCGCTACCCTCCACGAACTTTATAGGCCCGTCAATATTTTCTGATTCCAATCTCGTTTGTGGGTGGGTACGGCTGTCAAATGATAAGCCCGAAACTCCAAAACCTTAAAGCCCTAAAACTTCAACTCCTGAATCCTAAGCCTTTAGCTCCGAAATCCTGGGCCCTAAACTTCTCAAGTCCTTAATTCCCTTAAATGTAACCGCCAAACCGTAAACCCTAAACCCTGATCCCTAAACCCTAAACCCTAAACTCTAAACCCTATATAACCCCATTATATAGTACTTTCCATTTTCTTTGCCATTATACCCCATCCCCTCAACATGTTCCCAGCATCGGAGCTTTTCAAATCTTGGTCCTTCATCAAAGCCTTCAGCTCGGCTGGGACAAACTCAGCACGATCCCTCATCTCCTGGGTTCGGGATTTAGGGGTTGGTTAGGGTTTAGGGCTTAGGAATCAGGATGTTTTTATGAGGATTCAGGTTTTAGGGAGTAAGGGTTAGGATTTAGAGCACAATCAGGCTGTAGGATCTCTGGGCTACAATCCTCTCCCCCCTCGAATGTAAAAGAGGGACTCGAATCTTATAGGGGTATGCAGGGAATGGAAAAGACGATGTAAACTACTACATCATTTAAGGTTTTTGGGGGTAGGCTGGGAATCACGGAATAACATCCCGCCCTACTCCCTCAATACAACCCCTGCCATCATATATTAGGGGAACATTTCTTATTAGCCCAGTGGTTATTCTTAGGGGAAAGGATTAGTCAGTAACCCTTTGAGCATCCAGCATCCATACACAAACTCAAAAAGACAAGTAGGTAGCATACAGATATGCGTGTAGATATGCAAGTATATGTACGGATAGTATCAGAAAAGCAAGACATATGACAGACGTAATGCGGTATATGTGTAGATGCAAATTTATATGTGTAAAGAAAGATGCAGATGTGTTGGTATGTACTTAGGGCGCTTCTCGTGTTGCGCTTCGATGCGGTATGAGAAAAACCCAGAAACCAAAACACGTAATGACAAACATCAATCAGAACCCAACTGAAAAGCCTGGTCTCTGACTCCTCTGCAATGATGAAGCAGTGCATCATTGTGTCACATGTCAGCGAGTTCACATTCAAGAAGAGCCGGCCAGTTATGAAGCCCAGCAGACAGTAGACCACGACATTGACGATTGGACTGATGTCAGGATAGAAAGACTGCATAACGAAATACCTGGATCACTGGTGTTCTAGGCTGCGAAAACTTGGCCCGCATGAGATGGGGTTTCCCAAAATTAGGCGTAACTTTTGACTTCCCCATAATGAGGATTTTACTATTTTGGGGGCTATATTGTGGTCCCCGTGTTGAGGGAAACCACCATACAGAAACCAACTACAGAACGCAAAACTGATCCGCTGAGCAGGATCCAGGGACCCCGTAATGCCCGTAGCAGCACAGGTGAATACCGTCCCTATGCCACAAATCAATGAGCCCAGCATAGAAAGCGAACCAAACCGGATGATGTTCCGCAGAAGGAGCTCGAACGCCTTCACTTTTAGACGCTGTCCCTACTTACAATGATGTGGGGGGTGAGATTCCATTCCAAAAAACTGGCATGGGGCTTTTTCGCGACCACATGCAGGATGAAGGTCTTTCAGGAAGATACTTAGGAACTTTGTCAAGGAGGACACTGCTAGTGTAATATGATACTATAGGTAGAACACCATGGTATATCTTAAGGCTTCTGCAACAGTCCGGGAGCCTTGTGCCAGGATCATTCACTGACGGCTTTTGGTTTGAACCTTGTAGGCTCAGGGTACCCAATATACCTGAATTATAACATGTGCCTCAGCTTGTTTTCTTCGGGTTCTGAGTATCATCTAGGGGATTATCCTAGATAAAAGTGTTCTTTGTCTATAAGCCCCTACATAAACCAAGTCTCAATTTCATTTTCCATTTTCCAATGGACTTTTTTTATTCTCTAGTCTCGGGTAAGAACCATGAAGCCTTAATTTCAATGACACTTTCCCCTGAGTATGTGTGTATATATTTCTATATATATCCCTATCTAATCCCTGTATAATTAACACTCTAATCCCATTGAGGCGTTTAGTCCCCCAGGCCTTCCTCGCAGACGTGCAGAAGTTTGTGCCCTTCAGGGCGATCTGGATGTAGGCGTTCTTGTTGAGGAATTTCATACATTTCTCAAAACCTGGTCCCGAGTGAAGGCTTGAAAGAAGTACAACCATGTTTGGTTAGATGCGTCTGGGTTTGCACGATGCCGCGACCCAACAAATGTAAGCCATTATAAATCCCAAACCCTGGATCTTAAAACCTTACACTAAAGGTGAAGTCTTGAGAATGCATAGTATACAGCCCCCCTTAAGTAGATAGAATATTGCTTTGGTATAATATAATAAGATCCCCGTATACCCCATATTCTATCTACTTAAAGGGGACTATGAACCCTAATCCCTATATTCTATCTACGTAAAGGGGGCTATACGCCAGCTTGTCCCCGCACCCGCTGATCGCGGCTTTCAACTGGTGTGCTAGGGTTTAGGGTTTAGGGGTCTAGTGGATTGGGGATTTAGGGGCTTAGGGCTTAGGGTTTAGAATTCTACGCGGTCAACGAGCGGACCACCACAAGCATACGTCTCAAATCAGACACTGAGTACCTAAATCCTAGACTCAGAACAACCGCAACGATAAACACTATCATGAGCTTGGTAGTAGTCTTGACCCTACACCTTAAACCCTAAACCCAGTAGTCTTGGGGGTTTGGGGTTACCAAAGCCCTCTTCTAAACAAAATTGCAGCTTCCATTTTGTTTTCCATTCGATTCTACATTCTCGGGGCAACATATCCCTAAATCCTACACCCTACATAACCCAGTAGTAGCTTCCATTTTCTTTCCCATTCCCACAAACCGAAACCTCTCCAAGCTGAGAAACACCACAAACAGCAGCCCAGCACGCAAAAGATGGCGCGCAGGACACGGTTCTTTCGAGCTTTTGCCTGAGGAACTCTCGGGCTAGTAGAAACTAGGGTTTAAGGCTTAGAGTTTAGGGTTTAGGACTTAAGTTTTAGGGTATGTACTCCCCTCACCCTAAACCCGAAACCCTAAGCCCTACGGATACAACTGCCATTGCAAAAAATAGCTTCCATGTTTGTTTGAATTTGATTACGGGGGTTGGTTGTGGTAAAGCGTGCAGTTGTACAGTAGGGGCTGCCTGGAAGGCTTGCATAAGGGAGTGAGCCATAGAACTTTAGAGGAATATCGAATATGAGGTTTAACACGTAGGGCTCCTAACTTTAAAGGGACCTGGTGTTTGGGCCTTTTGGGTTAACGCTTAGGTTCTATTAGTTATAGAGTCGAAAGTGTAGAGCGAAGCAGTTATCAACAAACTCTTGTAGGTTGAGCACCCCCTTTACCAACCTTCCCGAGGAACGGGTTTAGGGTTTAGGAACCTATAACCCTGACCGTAGGACGAGCTTGTAAGCACCTAAGCAGCTATCATTATCCTGAATTTACTGCTTCTGAATAAGGAATTTGGGAATATGGCATATAGGGGTTATATAGGCAGTATGTTGCGTTCTTCCCTATTAAACACGAGTAAATCAAATAATCATAGCTGAAGGCGAACCTGAACGGGGCCCTGTGTGGGGGGGGGGGGAATGCTTGATGAAGCTGTGGTGAGGCCTTGTGGGGACGGTGTTACTGGCAGCACTCAATATCCGTAAACCTCACAACCATCAAATCTTGAGTCAGCCTTTAACATTGACCAGATCATAGGAGAAACGGCGACCCATGAGGCAGGCTGCCTGCTCAGAGAGGAAGCGCATCACCCACTTTAGCCACTGTATAATCGCCTGGGTTTAGGATTCAAGGGTTGGGGGATTAAGGTGTTGGAGTTTGGGGCTTCAGCGCCGGGAGGCTTGCGATTTGAGGGGTTAGGGTTTAAGGGGTTTTCAGGTTGAGGGCTTTAAGGGATCAGGGTCTGGGCTCAGGCTTTTGGAGCTTTAGGACCTAGGGGTTTGTTTAAGGTTCTAACCATGGGTTCTTCATTGAGTGTGTAGGGATTCATATGGGCCATGGCCATAACTCCTAATATCCCCCTTAATGACCCCTAAAATGGTCCGCTATATAATCCCTACAGAACCCCTTGTAAGGGTTTAGACTACTAATGCCTGGGTTGGCCCCTAAAACCCTTTGAAAAATATTAGTATATAGGGTCCCTTATTAAACCCATTAGGGAAAATATTCAATATCCCAGGAGCCTACCCTGATGCTCATTTGGACTATCATGCTAATGGAAGAACGCCAGGAATTAAGGCGCACACTTGGGGCAGGCAGGACCATCCTTAGGGCTTACACACCCCGGAAACTAACATGGAAACCCAAAAAGGGCCCTACAAAGACTACAGTCCTTCTAAAAGGGGACTATTTGGGTTTCCATGTTAGTTTGGGGGAGTGTGGGGCTTGTAGCTGCGTAGGGTTCAGGGATTTTAGGGTTTAGGTTTCAGGAGTTTAGGGCTTAGGGTTCAGGAGTTTAGGGTTCCGGAGTTTAGGGCTGAGGGTTCAGGAGCTTAGGATTTAGGAGTTTAGGCTGTGCAGTCCGAGGAACGTGGTGACTAAATCAGTCCGCGCATATGAACATGCCCCATAACCCCTAAACGGCTTAGGTTTAGGGATTGTCAAGTTTTGTGACCCTGAGACTGGGACCTGGTTTTACCAAGCAACGGTCAGTGGCAGGTACTCACATACTGCGGGGGCCTGTTCAATTCAAAGAAGGCTTGTGCGTGTATTATAACCAACAAATAGTCATAACAAGAATTCTATAATCCCCTATATAACCACCTTTAAGGAGTTTAGACCCTAAACCCTATGTATTCCTAAAGAATCCCCTATAGGCCCCCCCCCCTCCTTTATGGAGTTTAGACCCTAAACCCTATACAACACAACACAAGGAGCCCTAGGCCCTAGTTCTGTAGCCTAAACCCTAAGGCCCCATATATAACCCTGAAATACCTGTAGTTTCCATTTTCTTTTCCATTCCCCGAGTATCACCCCAACGTATACCCAAATATACTGAACCCTCCAAACCTAAACCCTAAACCCTAAACCCTAAACAAGCCGTTCACGTTTCTACGGCACCCGGAAGCACAGCCAAGTAGCCAGGATTAGCGAGCCAAAAGCAAGTGAGCCCAGGTGAAATACCTCGGTCCCATGGGTTTAAGGATTTAGGGATTTAG